ATATAAATAAATAATTATGTCTAATCATTATTATACGTAAGTATATACACCTTGCATAATTATTATCTCTAAATAACATTGTCACTGTGTCATTTGTAGTTTTCTATGAATGATAAATTTATCATTTTTTTTCTGATTTAAAACTGAAATTTTAATGCCGTGAAATAATTTACGCTTAGCGACGCCTCGATTAAAATAAACATATTTCAATAGCTAATGGTTTATTTATGGTAACCGCGTCGATGTAATTTCGCAATATTTGCACCTATTGATGCGGAACAAAACTGTAACATTTATGCAAGATATCTCCATCATAATATAAAATCTTAAAATATTTGCTATGCAGGTCACGAAGAGATTGCAGGTATGTTTCAAATTTGCTTTGGTTTGGTCACAATAGATAGTTGTGACAACTGAGAATTGGTCAATTGGTGGAGTTCGACTAAAAATTTGTCTGTGCTTGAAAGGAAAATTATGAAAGAAGTTTTAAGAGATGGTGGGTTATAATTTAGGATTTGTCGTTTTTTCTATCTGCCAGCAACATCTAGTCAAATAATATTTTAGTGTTGAAAATGACCTCGCGTGCTTTTGCTGTTATAAATTATGAGCCGCACGCACCGACACAGACGGATAATGGATCGTTTTGCCATGGATGCCAACTAAACATTTGTTCTTCACAATGGTGACTACATTATGGCCGTAGTCGAAATATTAATGACACTCAAACTAAATTACACACCTCAATGTTTACATTTGTCAACCTCATTAATAAACATATTACAAACACGGACACCTCGCCATATGATTGATATCGAAAAAAACGCTTAATTCCGATATTAAATTCACTCAAGAAAAATACAGACACCAAACCTTACAATAACAAGAATATTGATTCATCTGTCTATTGTCGGAAATTTAAAAAAAATAATTAAAAGAACTATCACTGCGGGTCAAGGATGGCAATCAACTTTTTAGCATGACAAAAACTGGTCTAATTAATTAAAAAAAAGGAACAATGACCGAACCCAAATAGGCATTAGAAACATTTTTAACCTTAACCGTCAAAATCGCACGCCTGATTTCCAGTTTCCGGTTCCCACTTTAATTTTCATGACAGTCCGTCAGCTACGTCAAGATTAGGTTCCCCCAAATTTTAAATTGGCGTAAGAGTCTTTCATAAGCCGAATTGTTCTTTGCGTAATGAGGACCGGATCGGATATTTTGATGCCCTAAATTGATGAGCAAACATCTGGCAGCCCGTTTTATATCTCACATCTAATTTTACACGCCCATATAGGTTGTAAAAGACAATGTAATAGCCGTGAAAGTAAATTAAATTATAAGTAAGCCGTATGTTAACATTTGTGGATCGGAATCTTTGATAGCAAGCAAATTAAAGAAAAATTATTTCATTTATTAAAATACCTATGTATTCAAAGTAATTAAGTTATTTATGTATTATTGATTAATTGAAGCGATTTTTATCTTTTAAATCTCTTTATTTCTTGCGTGTACTTCTAGAAGAGAGGAAAATATCAAAATTTTAATAACTTATGTCTAAATAATGAGCATATCATATCTTTTTTTTTTAATTTTGGCTTTATTTAAAAATAGATACTTTTACCTTGTTTATTACATTTGCAAATTTTTTGAATGAGGAAATACGTGCGGGACTTTACTATCAAAATAATGGTAGAGTTCATGTGCATAACCAGTTGCAATTTATTTCTGCCGAGTAATTTTTAAAAGTAATATCTTGAGTATTTACATCCGCTTGAACATGGAAGCAATTTATCACAACTTTATTTCCGCCGAACACAGTAAACAGTGTCAACTTTTCAGTAACTGTACGAAAAAGTTTGTTATTAATTAATCGAGTGAATTTACGATCCTGCAATGTTCCTGGGCACATTTCTAAACCGTTCTGAATGCAAAATTCGGGCAAGATGTTCTGTAAATAATAAGTTTAATAAGCAGGTATGACAAGTATGGACAGAACACGCTAAGTTGCTCGTAATTTACCGGCTAACGCCCTTAAAGTCAAGATATGGCGCATAAACACAACGACTTAGTGTTTTACATATTAACTGCTCCGCAATCTACCTGGTTATTGTTCATAAAAGTGAACAGGTTCGCTACCGGTTCGAACCCATCGTTTTAATTTTATTTCGATTATTTCCAAGGCTGGATGCTATTTATTAAATATCGATAATTTATCGCCGTCATAAAGCAACTCTCGCAAAAAAGCGTGTTGTCAAAGCACGTGTTTAATTCGGCAACGAGAAGTGATGGGATTGCCCCCCAGGAGGCGTCAAGGGGAGCTATCAAGACACCAAATTCCAGACGTATTTCTCGGCTAAAGCCGCATTCACACCCGACACGTTAAGGCGTTAAATTAACCACGTTCATAATTATTATCAAGGTGATGCAACGATGGAAGTACACTTAAGAATTAAACAATGGTTCACGGTCGCACATTAATTACTTATTTTTATTCAACAAAGCTTACATTAAACGCTTGTTTGCTAAACTGTTGACAGCCAGTAAGACAATCATATGATTTAAGAGGAAAAACACGTTATTGATCAAAAGATCGGCTTTTGTTTGCTCGTTCTACAAGAAAGTAACGCCTTTTAATGACTTTAGGCTCAAAACGATTGTTCAAATAATTAAAATCAAATAAAATTAAAACATCACCGTTCCTAGTCACAAAATAAAGTCTGACACACTTTAAAAAGTCATTGAAGGTAGTATGAATACAATTTTTAGTCTTTTTGGAAAATTACAACAAATAATAAGACATGAAAATTAGAAAAAATGAGTGTTTAATGTCAAAAGCCAATATTTAGCTTACTGTTTATTATGTGTGAGAGGAGCTCGAAGCTGGAAATGAATCACTGTATATTTATTTGTTATTTTTAGAATCATTTTGTACGTGTTACGAAATGCAAAATGTAATTTAATATTAAAAAAAATTAATTAATTTTTTTGTTGTAAAATATCTACTAGCTTGTCCAGAATAAATGTTCTTCCATTCAAAAATATCAACAAATAGCGTTATAATTTGATTTTAAACAATGAAAGTCATACATGTGGGTTAATGTTAGTTTTAAAACATAAAAAACACCGTGAGAAGGATTAATTAATAATTGGAGAGCAATAAATTATAAATGGATATTAAAAAAAAAAAAAAAAATGAAAATTAATATCTAGTATAAAATGGTGAAGAATGTATTGACGATTTAGTTTCGTCTTAGCACATTAATAATCCTTAATGAACCTACAATAACATACACGACGTTAATTAAATGTTTACATAATTAAATAATTATTTAAATTCAGAGATCTTTGCCGGATTTTCCACGTCGTTTAGAAAAATGATGTAAATACTGATTTGAAGACAACAAAGATGAATAGCAACAATAAACAGGACACGTCAAATCTTAGAAATAAAAACGTTTTTATGTCAACTTGTAGGCTGTACCTTATAGGTACAATAGCAAACTTGCGACAAATACTACACCCAAAGAACCCTAAAATTAGGGGTTCTAAGTGTCAAAATTTGAAACGGGTCACCTTGCTTAAAATCCAATTAGGGTTGAGAAAAATTTCAGTTAAAAAATTTGTTTTCATCTTGAATTTCCAGCTGACTCCTCGTCGAGCAAAGTCTGTTCACGCACCGTACCGTTTGGAATTTTAAATATGCACGTAAAAAGCGGGGGTCCGTGTGATATCGTGGCAGGGTCCCAATATTCTGACCGCGGGATCTCACACCTTTTTGGTCCAGATGTTATAACACACACTCGACTGGACATCAGCGATATCGTATCTGAATGTGTGAAGAGAGGTCTTATTTCGAACATGAATCATCCGTTCAGGCGGATCTGTTTCTTTTTGTATCGATTTAACATCGTTACCGATCGTGTTACGGATGATTTAAAGACGACGATTTGTAAGGATTTAAATTTTAATGTTTTCCGACGTGTTTGCCTGATTATGTACTCGACAAAATAGCATGTGTGGACGTTATTTTAAACGTGGGGTATTATTGCTTTTATAAATCGCATCGTTAAGTCAGCATCGGAGTATAAGCAATATTAATGAAGAAGCAAACGCAATTACGGCGAAAAATATATCTAAGCAACGTCGTCTTTTGCTCTGGTCACCATAAAGTAGCAGTTTTGATATTAACTTTATGACCATTTTATGAAATTACAAATTCAAGTTATTTTATTTTTACTACCATTTTTCAACATCTATACCTAACTAAAACAAAGGTAAAAGTTTATTGTTACTTTTAGAAAAAATTAAAGGACAAGTTTGAAGAAAACTAACAATCCAAAGAATATGTATGATGACTTATACAGGATAAGCCAATAGTGCGGTTGCGAAAAATATTAATTTGTAAGTACAAACAAATGTTTTTTTTTCTATTTGCCAAATCTGCATTCTAAAACTCTTTAAAAATATGTAAGTGGTTCCATTATTCCAGAACAGTATTTAACAACCTGTATAGGGTGTAATAATGAGTCTGAAAAAATTTTGGAAGCAACCAACATTACAAAGATAACTTGGATATTAAAATATTTAGTTTTAATAAATCAAACATAGTGACCAAACAGCACACTTCAACTTTAATTTATAAAAAGTCAAACCTTTGAAAATTTGGTGAGAATTACTAAAATTTTGCCGTAAAGACCAACAAGATTCTCATTTATGAAGAATGTTTGAAAAACGCTTCGCAGACTTCAAGTTTCTATCCAGCGCGATATCCAAATAGACGGACTTTCTAAAACTAGAGTAGTCATTTTGACTGATTTTTTTGTCAAAAATAAAAATACGATTACTATGTTTAACTAATTAAAACAAAATATTTTAATATCCACGTTATCTATGAAATGTAATGTTGGTTGCTTCAAAGGCCCATTATTACTCGTAGGACACCCTGTATATTTTTTCACATTCACATTATTTGTCTTGCTTAACACTATAACGATCTTTGTCAAAATTCACTAGCCCCTGGACTATAAGAATGAGAAAAAAAAGATTGATGTTTTAATATGTATAAAAGTTGTATAGTGTCTAAAAATGATGGAACCCCTCTTATATTTTTAAATATGAAAATAATGTTACTTAGCTCTTGTATACAGGCTGTGTCAAAACTGTGCTCCGAGAAAAATTTCAAGTAGGATCAAAAATGTTTAAAATAAATTATCCATGAAAAAATTTTGCCATTTATTTTTTGACATATGACATTTTTTATGTCTATTTAATGATACTGATGATCTGGTATAGGTTTTCGTATAATTATTTAGTAAAGGTTCAAAAAACTTGCCAATAAAAGCCACAAATAACATTAAACAGAGTTAGAATTTAGGATACAGCTTTCTTGTTTCCTCTTGTACTCGCCTGAAGCAAAAAAACTTGGAGAATTATTTTTACAACAGAAATAAATAGAGTCAAAATGCAAAATTTAAACTCTCATAACTTCGAAATTTTTATAAATAGAATTTTTTTACATTTTTCCCATGTATCTTATCTTACATGGCATTTTTCTCTGGGGCGCAAGTTTTGTCTCACCCTGTATAGTTTAAGAGCTACAAAATAAATCAAAAATTTTTATTCATACCTTCAATAATAAAGTCAGTATTTTCCAACGCTGCACTCATGTCTCACCCTGTATCTTTAAGCGATTGGAATTCTTAAACAACATTACAAACAATTTCAAAGAGTTAATAATTCTCCTCGTTATGTTATATTGTTAATAGTTTGTAATAAAATAATTTTATCGTCAGCTTATTGAAGGATGAGTTTGGATAATGATGCAATTACAGTTCAATATACAAGATGGAAAGTCCGTTACCTTTGATTAAAACTATCAGCGGCCCGATTGCGTTAATTATAATATATCGACCAGGTGGTATTTGTAACGTTAAAATCGCACAGCACAGTTCCTTAATCTCCATTTTGAATGGAAATGACAGCACAAAGCTCAGAATACAATCCTAGCATTGTGCTTTTCAATCAATAGTATTGAAATTTGATTTTGTCTGTTTTCTTATAATATCCAGGTAGCGACCGGATTTATTCATGCGCATTGTGTTTAATGGGAAAGTGGAGTGAACTGAAATTGTGTAAATATTTAACTCCACCAGTCAGACTATTGGGATCGAATTTAATTTCATTTTGGATTTTGTTATTTTACAAAAAGCCATTGTTGTAAGGCTGCGTTGATTTATATTGAATTCGTGACGGAAAATGTAATTTTTAAATTTCATTCAGTACATAAAATACAACTGGGAGCTTTTTAAACAGAAAATAAAATTAGTTTTGAAAAGGCATTGTCTAAAATTGAAAACCGAAAAACGGATATTCAGTCGCCGGTATTGTCGATTTTTCCACAATTTTGTTATTGTGTCATTCTGTGCTTTAATTTCAATTAAAAAACTAACCAGCTCTCAATGCGTCCATTGGCACCGAAGGATATGGAATTGAGTAGGGATAGCCTTCTTTCCGTAAGGTTTTTGGCTTACGTCTGGGCCGATATTTGTAGTCGGGATGCTCCTTCATATGCATTGCACGTAACCGTTTTGCTTCGTCGATGAAAGGCCGCTTTTCATCCTCCGTGAGGAGCTTCCATTCCGCACCTGAAATCAGATAAACATCCTTTGACGCCAACTAGCTTTTGCCCTATCTAACAGTTGAATAGACAATAATTGTGCACATGATCACAAATAAAACAAAATAGATTTACGCTAGGAATAATTTTTTTGTAACAATGTTCCCAATTTAATGCTTTGAAATTAGTTGTATAAATATTTGGAATTTAAACTAATAGAATTATGTGGAGTTGCCGAAATTATAATTATACAGAGTGATTCAAAAGTGTCGGACCCACTCTCAAATAGTGATAGACGACTTTTAGCTAAACATAGAAATGAAAGCAGATTTTTTTGAGTTTTTTTTTTTAGAAAGGCATCTGAGGTCTTTTGTTTTCGATGTTGTCGGATGTAATTTATTGTTGAATTTGGTAGTTTTTTAAATGTTTTGTACAGCCTAAAACACAAATTGGTGATTTTTCTAACAAATATCTGCTTAATGTTGCAAGATATGCTTTTTAGTTAACAAAATTCAAGAATTCATATACCTAGTCTGAACGGCCAAAAACTTAATTCCAGATCTAACTTTGAAGAGCTATATTTTTGTTACAGGAACTTTTAACTCAATTGGATGTCCATTATCACCACCTAAAAGATGGTCCGTGTCTTTTGAATCCCCTTGTATTGAATTACTGAAAATATTTTGGAATTAAGTATTGTAATTTTTTTAAATTACATGCAAACATCGAGGTAGGTACTATTTCCATACTGCTATTCAAAAGGACTCGGGTGGTATTTAGAACCTTCAAATTACTCTCAAAATTGCCAACAAAAATGTTGTACCAACTTTCTTTTAGTGGGTATAGCTCTTTAAAAATGCAACTTTAATATTAATTTTGTATTAATTACGGAAGGTAATTTTATATGTTTTTGGTACCTAAGAGACGTTAAAACATGTATGTACCTACATAAAAGATTAAAAAAATACATGAAATTCTAAGAAAAATAAATAAAATATGATGTCAAATGTGGAGATTTTCTGAAAAGATAAACTTAGCAACAGTACTTCAAAATTTTGTCGATTTCTGTAGTAACAAATGTTTAAAATTATTGAGTGCAGACACAAGATGATTCAAAATGTACAGTTGCGATGCCAATATGTTCTATCTTTAAACATACCTAAATTTTTCAAAATTACGCAACCTAGAAAAATTATAAAAGCAAATCTGAGCTGCTGTTAACGTTTTTGTCACCATATAAACGATTCTTCGACATTTTTGAATCTCCGTGTATTAATAAAAAAGTGTTGCCAATCGTAATATTATTTTATAATAAGATGGTTTATTTTCTCACTCACTACAGGACTGTAGCAGCATAATGTACAAGAGCAATTGGAATTCAGAAAAAAATTACCTAACTTTGAAAGAAAAAATTTATTTAACTTTATGGAAAGTCTGCAGAATAGTTAACAAGAGCAGAAATAAACTCTTCATTTGATTGAAATTTATACCATACCACCATCGCATCAATTGAAAATACCTTGCCATTTTCTGAATTATTAATTGTCATTTTTTATCATGAAAATGCTTGCTTGATTTATCAGCTTTTCTCCTGGTGGGTGAAAAAGTTGCACTCTTTTGGTAAAAAGAACGCTTTGGTGCTCCAAGAAATAAATTTGATTTCGTTTTTTGTTTAATAACTAAGTAGATTTTTGTAAATTACCTCCGAAGCACAGGTAATTTTAAGTTTTGAGACAAATCTAAAATATGTAGTAAAAATGGTAGTAGGCATATCTTTTTTTACCTAATAGCAAGATTTTAGCTGATTTTTTAATTTTTAACATTAGTTGTAACAGAGTACCTCCAAGAACTAACAACTTTTTAGATAACTTTTTTTGTAGGTATATGTTTCCCAACTAATTTCCGTGGAATTTTTTGTATTTGGAATTAATTGTACAATTTTATTAAAGTTGTCTGTGTTCTTACACAACTACCATGTTTTTTCTGTTTGCGTTTTATAATATTCGTAAAACTGTAAATGGATTCAGCTCTAATGCAACAAATTTTTACGAGTGTGCTAAACAAAAAGAATTTATCACTCTTTGAAATTAAAACAAGAATCTACATAGTGTCCATTTGCTTTTATGATACAACGATGTATACTTTTCGACTCTTGGTAATATAATGCTGAGCAAACAAGATAACGAAATTAACGTACTGTAAACATAATAAAAGTGCATCTTTAATTCACATGTACCTAAAGATGTATGTATTTTTAATAGGTGGCGGTTATCTTTCGATCGCTCGCATTTCTAAACAATTTATTTGTAATCTCTTAATTATAAACTTTGTTATGATTAAGTTTTTTTTTTCAGACTTCAGACAGGTATTAACTATTGGCTCCTGTTTTTTGTTTATCTACAACATGTAGATTCAAAGTAGGTGGTAGTGAATACATCAGTGCTTTAGTATTTAATGTCTGTATTTAATAGTAAGAGTTTGAAAGGAAAGTCTGAAAATCCAATTATAACTGAATATAGTCCGTGTTGATTAAAACGGTCTCACATCCACCTGAATGGTCTACCTCTCATCATGAATCGTAATTTTTCGGTGACAATGTCTGATTCTTCTCGCTTTCATTGAGAATAAATTAGAGGAAAACTTTAGACAAATACAGGACGTGTTCGATGCATTCGATTCACTTCCTCTTTATAAAGCACGTAACGACGTAACGTCGCAACATTGTTGCGGATGCTTGCACCTGTTCTGCCATTGGATGGAACAATGTAACAGTCGATTGGCTCGTCCAATAGTGAGTCTGTATTACATTACGTCGGTTTTTGTTCAGTGTTTTGTCATTTTGTGTCTAGAACTTTGTACGGCGCTACTGTAGGCCCTTTTGTGCGTGCCTCCTGAAGCGAGATAAGAATTAATTACAAGCCATGATGGGCCTTTGTTCAACTTGCTGATTCTCATTTTCTCTCAAAAGATAATTTAATGCTAGCACCCTCGCAGGATGCCACCGGCTCCTTATTCCTGCAGCCGAGAAAATCGCTTATATCGAAGCAATTACGCCAGCGATAGCATCTCAGGATACACCTGCTCTGGGATAGTGTTTGTGTGGATAGTTTAGTCTTCAGTGTTGTAATGACAAAATTATCGTTGACGTTCTAATTGGGCCCTGTATCTCTAATATTTACCCTAGGTATGAATCTGACTACGGTCTAAAAGGTTTGTTTGACCAAGGGCGCCACTGGACGTTAAAAAACCGCACTGTGGTCATTGTGAGCGCGAGTAGACAAGATAAAGCAATCATCGGAAACAATCTCTTTGCAATGATGTAACTTGAAGTATATCCATTCGGGGAACAATGTCTTGCAACAATGCCAACTAAAGAGACATCGTTGTCGCTTTTGTCTCATTCAAAGTGTTTGTTGCGGATAAAAGGACAGTTTGAACTCGAAATCTATAGCAAAATATAAGCGCATTCTCTTCTAATATTGCCTTTCGAATTGTACCATTGTGAAAGAGTGGGCATTTCAATCGACCAGGTGGTATTTTTGGCCTTTTTTCACGAATTTAATTCGAAATGGACTAGACAAGACAGTTTGAATATGAAAACACTTGAACATCCAGAGTGCCGTGAAACAGCAGCTGTTGACTGTCACTTGTCGATCAGAGCCTTCCTAGATGATATGAATAATAAAAATGAATAATGCAACGGCCTCCCCACTACACTGTTACAATGTGTTATGATATGCTCTTATATTGCCATTTAGGGTGGAAAATGTATTTAAAGTGTGACGTTTACAGGATACATATGTGGAGAGCCCTTTCATATGCTAAACAACGTTTTTATAAAGTTTTAAAATTCATATCGTATTTATTAGGTTCATGCAGCGCGTCCAATTCAATAACTCTTTTAAATGAACACGACCGGACAGCTTTGTTATTATTTCTTCTTAACTAAACATTTTGATTTCGACACAAAACGAACTAAGAATAACACAATTAATATTTCGTTAGGATTATTAAGAAAACATGATAACGGGCCTTACCTAATCGTTTGGATATTTCCGAATTGTGCATTTTGGGGTTTTCTTGAGCAATTTTTCTCCTTTGTAATCGTGACCACACCATAAAAGCGTTCATCGGCCGTTTGATGTGGTCTTCTTGTTTTTTCGTTGCTTGGGGATTTTGGAGACCTTGAGGGACACCCAAGGCGGCTCCACCCAAGGAAGCCATCCTCGAGAGTCCCTCCGCGGCACTAAAGCCGCCTTCACACATCTGACCCACAGATCTGGAATACAAAAATTAAATTTTATTGAAGAGTTGAATGCATACGAGATTTAATAAATTTCGTCTATTGTAACGTAATAGACATCTATGCCTAGAAGTGCCGCTGCTGCAGGAATGTGCCACACCTTGGATACTGAATAACTCAATTTATCTAAGTGAACTACTCACTTTTATAATTTTGACTTCCTTTCGAACTATTTTAGGAAATTTTCGATTTGAAACCTTCTAATATTGTTGTTTAAAGCGGATTAAATTAGGTAATAAATGTAAAATTAAATAGAACTGATGATACTTCATCGATTTGAAAAGAGGTGATTATTGTGATTCCATAACACCTTTCAGGTCACTGATGTCAATTTGCTTAATTTCTGAATCATTTGAATCAACAATTTTAATTGGATAGGTAATGGATAGGAATACTGCGTTGTAAATCTGTTAACACTTATTAACATTTATTTTATATTTCCTTGTAAAAGTAAAGTTTAAATTAAATATATATTGTGATAATAAACAAGTGTACCTTTTTAAACAAATAAACCAATGCTAAATAGTTAAATTTGAAAGTTTAAGATTTATTACAAGTTTAAATCATTTTGATAATTAGTTTCAAATTACACAGTACCTATAATTATTACCATTCTATTTCAGTTCATTACCCATAAAATGTAATAAGAATATAAAACCAGTAAAAATGGACAGTTTTGATTTCTGACTTACCTATAAAAAGGGTGCTAACCAGTTCTTCTAGTTTATGATTTAAAACATCTTGTGTAACGGTGAAGATACAGCTGGTTGTTGTCTATAGACTTCTAATTTGATTTTGATTAAATATAACAAAAGACAACTATATCTAACTATGTTTGTTTGTTTTGAAAAAAATATCTCCAAATGAATGGTGGTCGTGCATTGACAGGACACACTAAGTAAAAAAAGTGACCTTTTCTCTTATTCCAAAAAGTCAAAACTTTAGCTTCAAGAATATTTTTAGAGGTAAAAAAATCCAATGACATACATGGAAAAGTGTCTAGGTATACAATCAATGCGGAGGTAAAAGAAATTAAAAGTGCTCCGGAAGAAAAAACGTTGAAACTTGAAACAAAAAATATGCTGCTGCAAGGTTCACAAGGGCAAAAATTTGAAAATATTATTAAGGACCGTATAGTAGCTTTATTGAATTACGCCATTCGTCATATACAGGATATTTCACGAGTGATAATGAGCCTGACCACAGTTGAACTGCAGCCAGCAATAGATTTGCATAGGCTTCATGGATTTTGATTATGAATTTTAAAATTAATAAAACATAATTATCGCGTGACTGACACAAAGAAATTGACAAGACAGGAAACACAATTTTTAAGGTTATTGTCTATCTACCATTGGAAAACACTTTCAAGCCTTTTTGGAGCTTTTCTATACAGGAATCATTGTCCTTACAAAAGAAGTATTTTTCCCAAATTCGTCATAAATGAAAATCAGATCTGTTTTCTCATCGTTCGAATGCATTTTGATATTTTGCTAATGTCAGTTTTGACATGGTTGTGACAAATAAAATTATCGAAGCAAAGCTATCGTGGATTCATAATTCGGTTTTTCAAACAATGCGATATCTAAAATATCCACGTTAACTTTGCAAATGTATTGTGGGTTGTATTTTCAATTCCGTCAGGCATCTATATCACTCGTGAAATACCCTGTATAGTGTCGATTTAGAGCCTAGTGGTTTCTTTTACTTAAAAATATCAAAAAATAAAGAGACAAAATTGAATCAAATGAATAAGGAATAATTGCTGCTATAGCAGCATTTTTCAGACAACTGAAGGAAAATTGGGAATTGTGCATAAAAAAAAGAATTTTTTTCTTAAATAATACATACATAGGTACATACATAAAAAAAATTGTGTAAATTCTGTGAGTCTGCTTTCATACCTAGGTTTTTCTTCCTGAATTGCCTTCGTAAGTTATGCACATAAATAATAACAACAGATTTTTAAACATATACAGAATGATTTTAATAGTTGTTCAGAATTTTTATGACGTTATAGTATAGAACCAAAGAAGCCTTAAAGTTCCCGAACAAAAATTGTGAAGGTTAATTCTTCTAAATCTTCAAGGTACATTGTTTTAAACAAATTCAGTTTAAGACAGAAAAACAACCACAGAAAAGGTATATTAAAAAAATAAGAAAGAGGTAAAAAAAATCACCTTTTTTTGTCGAAGATACCACCGAATTTCATACGCAAATGTTACCGACTGTAACCAATGTAAACTTTGGAATAAACTATTCAAAAGATGCAAACTTTATTCATACTGCACTTTTTTTTGACGAATCATCCGACGCTAAAATGTTGCGTTTTTAAATAACATAGGAAGAGATTTTTTTAAACAACGTATTTATAAATACTCGATAATTCTATACCTATCTTAAATATCCATATATTCAACAATAATTATACCCCAAGAATACTATTGCCCGAAGAAAATTTCACATTTATCTTGTTATTCCTCGTTGTCATCTTGTTATTGTCACTGAATTTTGCCATTGCAATTGCCCAATGCAATTTGCAATTTAAATAATGCATTTACTAGATTGGTTGAAATTTTATGAAAGCAGTAGTAAGAAATATCTTGTTATTAAAAAAACTTTATATTCGAAATTAGTGTTTTTACTCTTTTAAATTTATGTCCATCAGTTCAGTCAGCAAATAAAAAAAAATGTTACCTATGGTGATTGTCTGTTGCGGTGTTATTGATATTAAAAAAATACATATGTCAGAATTGCAAAACTGGCACATCCGCTGTTGTGATGATTGCGCAGAAATCTGTCCCCAATGCATCGATTTTTCATTGAGACTCTAGTCGCCATAAAATTTTCTAAAAAATTTCTCTTCAAGTTCTCCCACACGACTTTAGATAAGTCCCGTGCAAACAAAAACGTATAAACAAGCCTTCTAAAGTAAATAAAATATTTGAAAAAGTCAAACATGAAAGCAATCATAATAATATTCAACCTCTGTGCCTTTTGTGGTTCTCTTTATGAATATGGAATGGTCCTGGCCTGATGCTGCAATATTCAAAAGTTGAGAGCTTAATTTAACTCAGCCACTATTTAAAACCACATTAAAAATTAGTGACGCGAAATTACCTACTTACAATCCATTTAGGACCTATTCAGAATCCCTAAAAACGATTTATAATTGTTTTCGATCAAGGCCGATACTTGTTCAACCAAATGAAACCTGATTTCTTTATGCAACTACAAAAGAAGAAAAAGCAAAACTATAATCTGATTTATTTTATTACACGGGTTTTAAGTCTTAAAATTTGATACAGATGAGTTGGCAATCACCACAATCGATTCCCCGAAAGTAATAATAAACGCGGGAGGACATTAAACCGTCAAATAATTTAAATAACTAATAGAGCTGTCAGGTTCTACCATATAAAACACCTCCGTTGCTTTTGCCGACGGCAAATATCAGGTAGATTGTCGGCAGCATGTTTGAGTAGCCGAATTTTTTTATTTAATTAACAAACTATTACCTATTGAAACCGCTACTCTCTTCAAATAGAGAAAGTTTCTCAACTGTTGCAGGCGTAAATTTATTGGCCGCAAATAGAGGCGGCAGATAACAAGGGATAAACCACCCCTGCAGGACCTTTGTCCAGCCAAGTGAGAGATTACTTCCCGCCGTGGGATTATTATGAAGCCACTGGACTGGTTCGGGGCAGTTTGGACCGTCTCAAGAGCCACTTTTCGAAACGATTCCTCCGTTTTACTTAGTTTTTTAAATGCATATTAATGATTTATTCCGGAATCTTTGTAAGAAGATTAAATTCTTAAATCTGATTTAGGTTCCGAAGGGTAGGTTGAAGTGATAACGCTGGTAAGTATATAAATCACTAGAAATTTACGACGGATTAGCGTTACTTATCTACTTATTAATTATTTGGATTACTTTTATAAAAAGAAAAATATTTAATTGTGATACCTTTATTATACTTAGTATAGGTATTGCGAAGCACAACAAATCATTTTCAACATTTGAAAATATGCATTTTAAATGGTTTTTCTAATTTTGACTTATTTATGAATTTTGGGTGTGCCACTGCGGCTCAGGCCAAGTTACAAACGGTCACTGCGGCCATTTAAGGATTACAGTATTCAAGTAGAAATAATTTATGACAACTACATACACACATAAATTAAAATAATTAATTGCATATTAAGAAAATTGGAATATTGCATGTCTATAATTAATAGACTGCTAAATAATTTATAACATTAAACATACGTCAAAACAATAAACTTGTAACTCAACACATTCATAACATGACGTTTAGTAATTAAGTGCAATATTTTTATTCTAAAAAGTGCTAAATATTCTCATACGACCTTGGATTTGAACAATAGAAACATTTATTTCTGTAATTTTTCGACGGACCGGAAATTTTAATCGTTTCATAAAATGCACCTTTAAAAAAATTAATTAGATACGCATCCGAGGCAAATTAGCGTCTCAGTTGATTTATGATAAATTCGAGATATTTTGCTGAAATCTCATAAATTATATTTTTTTAATTATAAACAATATTTAAAGTTATGGTCAATTGGGCAATAATAAACCAATATTTCCGAATCAAGTCCGAAATTAATTGACAAGATTTCTTGGGATTTATATTATTATTCTCTACTGAATCAGGAACACATCTAAGTAGCAAATTTGAAATATTACTTATAGTCTTCCGCACGGCTACACTGCTGACAAAAGCTTTAGAAGACTCATGCATGGTGTTTAAAAATAGTCACATCATTTTTATAAGTGCTTGATTTTGGTTCTATTAATCGTTAATTGTAACTTTTAACCTAAATCTTTATCAATCAACAGATTATAAAGCACGTATACAGATAAAGCTCTTACTTTCAAGTGTTGTCTTTATGTTTGAAGTGTATCTATCGATCGATAAGATTCTGCTCTAGAATTTGATCGGGGAAGTGATGCAAATAAACAAATTTATTAAATAATCAGGTATAGGAGGGTTGAAACGGTCTCTCAGCCTTGACAGGCATTGCTTAACTTTTTGAATTGAGTTGGTGTTTATTTTATTTGTTGTCACTCCAATTATGTGAAAAAATTATCACTTTGAGTGGGAGTCGGTCAGGCACTGCCGCATGATCAAAAGTAAACAGTGATCACTTTTGTTAAAAATTGTTCTTACCGGATGAAGTGGCCGTTAGAGGCCTGCCTCTGTAGGTCCAGATCAATTTTGAAGCAGTTTCGTACCAATAATTACCACAAAACCGTATCAGTCCAACACACAACACAATCGCACAATTAATTACAATGTCCCTATTGTCAAAAATAATGGCAACATTGACGACATAGGTGTAAATGCGTGTATCTCACTGAAAAGCACTGAACTCTATGCAGTTGTGGCATGATCCAAAGGTGAGTAAGAAATAGGCATGCGCATCTAAAAGCTCACTTTTGCGTCCAATGGGAGTCGAAGGCGGAGTCTAAGGCATTATCTACACAAGTTGTGGTTCGAATACAGAATGGAAACGCCTCTTGATTGTTATGTTAATTTTTTGTCTCTTATTCTTTTATACAAGTGTTTTTGAATTGTGCTGAGTATACTATTTTTTGTGTGTATGTTGTTGTTGTTGACAAAAGGCATGGATGGAAGCGAATAGCCTCTTCTTCTCCACGGTCGCACCTTCAATAGGTGTCAGTTTCAAAACTTGAATGTTGGGATCATCTCGAGTGGCTTGATGGTATTGTGCTACTTTTTAATTAACTAACTTTACGCAGATTATCATGGGAAAACCACTTCTCTTAATTTCATTCACATCCTCGAGAGATACATGATATTACAGAAGCAGACTTCAACCACGAGTTTCAAATGAAAATCCATTTACAATCAACGTTTTGTTTTTCGCTCGGGACACGATTAGCGCAATTCATTAATTAGGTTTAGCAAAAATAATGTAAGAAGTCCCACGGTAGATACGAAATACTGAACGTTGCTGGGATATTCAAACGAGGTTTTAATCAAGTATAGCGTTAATTTTTTATAGTTCTTATATACTTTTAGAAAAAGGTAACTAGCAGCACCTCTATCATATTTTATATGAGCACCTCTATATATATTTATATAGAACTCATATTTATATGGAACTACTTACATTATTTTTACCACTACTATGTAGAAAGAAAATGACATACTTATATAGTATACATACAGGTGCGCCAGAACTCGCGCCCCAGAGAAAAATTTCAAGTAAGATAAGACACCAGGAACATGGAAAAAATGTTAAAAAATTCTATCTGTCAAAAAATTTTGACATTTATTTTTTAACATTTGACATTTTTTTATGTCTATTTAATGATATACTGATGATCTTGGATATGTTTTTTTACAATTAATCACTGAAGGTACAAAAATTTTGCTAATAAAGGCCAGAAACAACATTGAACAGAGTTACAATTTAGGATATAGCTTCCTTGTTTCCTCTTCCAATAGTCTGTAGCAAAAAAACTTGGAAAATTATTTTTCCAATAGAAATAAATAGAGTCAAAGTGCAAAATTTAAACTCTCATAACTTCGAAATTTTGATAAATAACATTTTTTTAACATTTTTTCCATGTCACTACCATATATGGCATTTTTCTCTGGGGCGCGAGTTCTGGTGCATCCTGTATATTATAGATATGTAGGTATACATAGCAACTTGACTATACGCAAGAAATTATTTTTTCTTACCTCATGCATTATTCTAGCTCATTTTTTTTGTTTCTTTTTAAATCAAAGTTTTTAATGAAAAAAGCTTTAATATGACTATAAGCGGTAGAAAATTTTCTGTTTGCATTACATGAAAGTAAGGTAATAATTAGCAGTTGTGACAAAATTTGGATCAAATATTTATTTTTACAGGGCAATAGTCGAAAGTAGGTATGTATTTAACTTCTTGTCTTTAAGGTTTATATTGTTAGAAAAATGAGGTGTCAAATTAATTAAAAGTTTATTTATTTATCGTAGGAATAAAAGAGGCTTTATTTTTCTAATGTTGTTTAGATTAGTGAGACCTCAAGAATACTTGTGTAATTTTCTTTATCAGCATTGAAAGCAATTGATTGTTACTCTAAGGTAAAAATAAGCAAAGAAGTGTGCGTTTTGTATGTTTTGAACGGAGTAAATATTATTGTTGAGTGGCACTTTCATGTGTTATTGTGGCAAGTTCACAATTAATTCCCTCCCTATTGACACCAGTATAACCAGTATAACCCTTCCACCGCTCCGATTTATACTATAGAGTATAACAAATTACTGTAATATCAATAACAAGGACTTTATTATTTACCGAATACTGGCTTAACCTGAAAGCTCTTTGAAAAATCCAACATTGTATACAAGGTATTTATACCAAAAGGGCATTATGCGAGTGGAAGTGGGCTTGAAAAATCCGATTTCCTCCCTATAAACCACCCTCACAAGAAGAAACGATTATTGCAAGCAATACTCAACCCTAGTCTTAGAAGAGTTTCGTTCCATTTTCTTTTTAACTGTAAGAGCAGCATTGTGCCATTGTCGGATGCAGATGTTACGTATTCCAAGAAGGTTTTTGCAATTTTTTAGACTAGTTTAAGTGGTCATTTTACCGCCACGCTGTAGACCAAAATTATACCAAAGACGAAATTGTGTTTACACGCGTCAGTAATTAAAGTGGTTGGAATTGATTAGGCGGAATCGACACCGATCAAACAACCACCCTCGTCACGATAAACTGCTTACGGCTCCTATTACACTGGTTTACAACCTTATTTAGGAAAGGCCCGAGATAAAACGAACCCTAATCAAGTCATAAATAGCATATGGTGAAAGTTTGGTTTCAATCACCAGGGACGAGTTGTAAATTTAACAAAAAGAAAAGAAACTTTAAAATGTCGTAAATTGTAAAACTAGAATAATAAAAAGTTAAATAAAAATGTATCTACTATAACCAAATCAAGATTTACGTTCTGATGTTATTTGCTGACATGTGTACCTAGATATCAGGGTGAATAAACTAAGAATGCATGCGAGTTTCAGTGTTTTTTCTTTCTTTTTTTATTATTCAATCAGGCTTTTTATCGATTAATCGATTTTATTCTTTAAAAACCAGTTTTGAGTTTTTTGGTTGACAAGAATTTTAGTTTTAATCTGTACGAATTATGCCGGTTTTTGGGATATTGAGTCTTGGTTAGTTTTCATACATGTTTTTTTACACAATATTTTGTCTATGTCGAGCCGGATCGTTGCCAACTCCGCCAAAGCTCGTTCGTTATGATTCGCGATTTCCAACTCGTCGACATTGTCATTGATTAGGTCGGGAATTCGCTCGATTTTCGCAGGAAAACGAAGAGTAATGTCAGTAACGCGCCGGGGTTTCGCGTGCTAATGACCGTCCTCAGGGCGTGCGCCATGTCACTTGCATCCATACCACACTTTGCTCTGTTATTTACATGAATAAAGACTCCGCAAAGCGATAATGGGGATTTTTACTATCGCATAAGTGTCTGCAAGTGGATTTATTTGAATAGAACGAAGGGTACACATAGGGGAGATGTGTAATCACCATCACCGAGAAGATGCATGTTTGTTGTCTTCTTACTTATGAGGTGTTGGCAAAGAGATTAAGTCGAGTGAATGGCGCGCTGTTTTACAATTGTCCCATTCTCTGTTTGTGATTTTGATTATCTTGCGAGTGGTTATGAAATGTTTACTTACATCTCTATTCTGTTTAGGGGGCGTTTTTGTTTACCAGCTAAATTAACAGACTCTTAAAGGCGGAATTATCGATCGATAATTGACCCTTATTTCCGCTACTTACACAAATTTAACTATCAGCGGACCCTATTTACTAATTAAATTCACATTTATGCGTAAAGTAATCAAAAACTTGCTACTTAATTACGTCACATTTAAGAACCTATTAACTAATTTAAATTACACCGTTAACTTTTGTGTCATTTTTTGTCGCATTAATCCCTAGATATGTCTGTAGCTCAGAGGCATTCTCCTGTTTAAAAATATGATACGGACCACTTGCGGTTAAATTTTTACCTGTTCAATTTCGTCCGATTGTTAGCGCGTTTTCCGTTAATAAATCTGTTATCGTTTTGAAAGCACGTCGTAAGTAATAGATTAGAGTTAGCACAATAGCATCCAAATAAATTTCAAATACGCCGAGATATAAATCATTTTCGATCAAGGAATACTTTTATGAAAAGGTAGAAAAACATTATGGACGTTTCATCAGACAGATATCAAAGCACATTAGCGATTTATTGTGATAAGCAAGCGATGGAACGGCTGTGTATTTTTCCAACTTTGATAATATTTCAATCAAAACCCAGTCCGTCGCAAACAATGATTTGTCGGAATAAAAAACCACTCACTCGACCACTGGTCAATAACAGCTTCATTGCCTGCCATTCAACACTAATGCACCCGCTCTCGCTTTATGGATGATGCACCTGTCGAGGGGCAAATTTTACGATACGCAACTGAAAACTGCTTGTATTTTACAAAAATAAGATTTTTGATGAAGCTGTCCCAAAACAGGAAGCACATTTTGCGGAATATTCATACAATAACTAAGAAAGTTATCGACAACAACAAACTTGCTTTATTCTGTTGCACACTTGTGCAGTTTATTTGAAAATTTTACAACCACATTTTCCATTTACAGCCACAATAAGATTTTATATTAGTAATAAAATATACATCAGCTGTAGATTTCGCACATTAGCTCGTAAACATCTGGACGTCTGAACATTTTAATTTGAGAAATGCAAATTTAAAAAAGACAACATGAAGGAATGAAATCGTCGAGATTCCCTGGGTGCACCGGAATTTGGACTTAATACCAGGTAGCCAGAAGGTCCCATAAATAGGAAGGTGGCAGCGCTTTGTCCGAGTAATACCCTATTCTCTAATGCCACACACAAACGTATTGTCACTACGAAAAGACCATATGACAATGTATTATATCAGCTATTCAATGTATTGAATCTGCTGTACAGTTTTATGCTATTCAATATTTTCAACAAAAGCGTTGCTAAAATATACACGCGTTGCGAATGCCGAAAGGTTTTGTCCTTTTGTTGAACAGTGTTGGACCCATTCAGTGTTTTTGTTGAGAAGGAAGTACGAAATAAGCGAGCAAGCCGTGTTTTTCGGGAAATCTGAATGTGGAGGTGTGTGCAGGTAATGGCCCTTATTATCATTCAAAACCGCTCAATTGGACACGAATGAAAAACATCAACTCGTGGACATCTATCAATTTCCTCCAACAAGACGTTTTACAAATTATTCGCGTGGGCAAAGAAAAGCCATAATCGACTTTTTATCA